AGATTCTTGCGGCAGTAGACCGGTCCATTCAAACTATCAACAAAACAGGCGCTGCTACAGGTATTCTGCGACTTCCACATCGTTGGAAACGGGTTGTACACAATGCTGGCGACTATATTGAAGGACTGTAAAACATGGTGACATGAATCACTTTTGTATTCCTTGTAAATAAATAGTTGCCACTATTAAAGTTCTAACCCTCGTATGTAAGTGTGTATGAATCCTGTATTAGCCTGAATTGAGAAATATTTCATCAAGCAATAGGCCTAAAATTAGGGAAAAAATTATTTAATAATAAATTGTAACGAGAATTTTTTCAAAAGATTAGTAACAATGGGAAAATGTTCAAGACCTCAAATTCCATCCACATGGCATAGTTCAAAGTAAAAGCAGTTAGCTTAATATTTTTGAATAGTTATAGATAAATCAGCAAAATACCTGTTACAAAACAAAAGTAATTAAATTTTTTAGTCAAAATTTAAGGAAATCAAACTAAGTTACTTTTATTAAGAATGGAAGACTATTAGCCTAAATCGCGAACTATTTAAAAAAATGGAACACCTATAATTAGGAAAATGAATTATTTATAAAATTGAATTAATTAAAATAAATAGAATGGAATAGAGAGAAAGAGGATTAAAAAAAAAAACCTGTGATAAAACTTTTCCTTAGTTTCATTCTGTGTGCGTGTTCCATGTGACTAGAAAGTAAGGAAATCGATATAAAGTTTGAATGTTGAATCGAATTGAGTATCTTACATATATATATATTGAAATTTGATTGTAAACAGGACTTTTGAAACAATAATCCTGCACAATTGCTGCTATGATTGACTTAACATAATTAATTAAGTGATAACTAACAGGCAAAGAATAAATTTAAAAGTTGAAACTTAATCAAACTATAAAAATACTTATTAGAAACTACAGTCAAAAGTCTTTAGTTTGGACTCGTTGGGACTTTGGCGATTTCGCATTATTGGGTTTTTCTGGATTATAGATCATCAGTTTAAATCTGGTAAGATGGCATGTAGAAATTATAAAATTAAAAATATGAAACTGTAATTTATGAAATAAAGAGCAATTATGATCTAAAGGATACAAAAATTTGCAAAAAAAAAGCTTAATATTTATTTGTTTACTTTATTAAACATTTCTTTCAACACGCGCATGCATAAAGCATACATTACGCATAGTCGAATTTAGAAAATTGCAACCAGAAAACTATTTGATGTGTATTCCTGATATTTATAATGACGACGAATTTGATTTAACTCATATCAAAGATGGAGTACATCAAATTGAAATACTATATTATAAGCCGAATAAAATAAAAACATCTGCCCTGAAGAAAAGGATAGTGCTGACAGATCAACTTCCAGTTCATTGCGTGTCGCGATGTCCCCCCGCATCCGCAGAGCAGCGTGAAATTGATAAACAAATTTTGGAATGGTTAGAGAAACAAATCACCTGTCTGTCACTTTCTTCATGCCTTTATCCATTTTATGCAGCAGTTCTACTTTTTGTTTAATGGACATCGAAACATGCTTTCGCTTTGCAGATTCTTTGGCAGCTCCAGCATCAGAAATTCTATTTGACATAATCGAAAGTTCAAGCTTACTTTTATAAAATTGCTCTAACAGTCTGCAAAAAATAATAAACTGGATCCGATTGGAAGATTAAGGAACAATGCAACCTGCAACATTAACTGAAATAGATAATTAGGCAATTTTAGCTTAGCTTATACCGTCCATTATACATGAAACATGCATGCGTAAACGTATTATGCACACACGCATATGCACATGCATCAATTACTTTTATTAAGAATGGAAGACTATTAGCCTAAATTGCGAACTATTTAAAAAAATGGAACACCTATAATTAGGAAAATGAATTATTTATAAATTGAATTAATTAAATAATAAATAGAATGGAATAGGAGAAAGAGGATTAAAAAAAAAGCCTGTGATAAAACTTTTCCTTAGTTTCATTCTGTGTGCGTGTTCCATGTGACTAGAAAGTAAGGAAATCGACATAAAGTTTGAATGTTGAATCGAACTGAGTATCTTACATATATATATATTGAAATTTGATTGTAAACGGGACTTTTGAAACAATAATCCTGCACAATTGCTGCTATGATTGACTTAACATAATTAATTAAGTGATAACTAACAGGCAAAGAATAAATTTAAAAGTTGAAACTTAATCAAACTATAAAAATACTTATTAGAAACTACAGTCAAAAGTCTTTAGTTTGGACTCGTTGGGACTTTGGCGATTTCGCATTATTGGGTTTTTCTGGATTATAGATCATCAGTTTTAAATCTGGTAAGATGGCATGTAGAAATTATAAAATTAAAAATATGAAACTGTAATTTATGAAATAAAGAGCAATTATGATCTAAAGGATACAAAAATTTGCAAAAAAAAAGCTTAATATTTATTTGTTTACTTTATTAAACATTTCTTTCAACACGCGCATGCATAAAGCATACATTACGCATAGTCGAATTTAGAAAATTGCAACCAGAAAACTATTTGATGTGTATTCCTGATATTTATAATGACGAGGAATTTGATTTAACTCATATCAAAGATGGAGTACATCAAATTGAAATACTATATTATAAGCCGAATAAAATAAAAACATCTGCCCTGAAGATAAGGATAGTGCTGACAGATCAACTTCCAGTTCATTGCGTGTCGCGATGTCCCCCCCCCCCCGCATCCGCAGAGCAGCGTGAAATTGATAAACAGATTTCGGAATGGTTAGAGAAACAAATCACCTGTCTGTCACTTTCTTCATGCCTTTATCCATTTTATGCAGCAGTTCTACTTTTTGTTTAATGGACATCGAAACATGCTTTCGCTTTGCAGATTCTTTGGCAGCTCCAGCATCAGAAATTCTATTTGACATAATCGAAAGTTCAAGCTTACTTTTATAAAATTGCTCTAACAGTCTGCAAAAAATAATAAACTGGATCCGATTGGAAGATTAAGGAACAATGCAACCTGCAACATTAACTGAAATAGATAATTAGACAATTTTAGCTTAGCTTATACCGTCCATTATACATGAAACATGCATGCGTAAACGTATTATGCACACACGCATATGCACATGCATCAATGCATTAACGCATGCGCAGAAATTTTATAGCTTTGAGGTCCGGATTATGGGTGTCCGGATTAACGACTTTTGTCTGTATAATGTAATTTTAGTGTAAGTTAAGAAATTAGCCTTTGACTGAATTGGAAAGGTATAATTATGTAAATATAAAAATACATAAATGCAATTTAGAAATATAATTTTGATGAAGCTGTTTGATCACTGACTCAAACTTTTTTTAGAAGTGGTAGATTCTTACAGAGATACTACTACTTTATCTGGCATTAACAGATGTGTTTTTGTTTGTCCCAAGTTAGCTGATATATCAAAATCAATTGCTTTAAATTATTTTGACATCTGAAAAATTAAAGATGCCAACTTTACATGCCTAATCTGCCAAGATAGAAGTAAAACAATAGAAATACAATAAATCAAAACATTCGGGTAAGTATTAAAAAATGACCAAAAAGAAATTTTAAACATGAAATCTTTAAAAAGTGGCAAAAATGGTAATTTATACAATCTGGAATAAATTAAATTGAAGTAGCATCAATAGTCAGATTACAAAAAGATGTAAAGAAATACACTGTGAAAATTACCCCTTACTCCAAGATGTAAACTTAAAAAAGGACCATTGCAAATGGTGTGGCTCATATAATAATACAGAGTGGAAAAAATTACCTGCTAAAATTATAGTAAATGATATTTAACAATGTGGAGCTGTTTGTGGTTTCTTAAAATTTTAAAATACTATTTCCCAGCACTCCAGATAATTAATTCTGAGATGGTGCACATCAAATAATAAACAGATGTCTGCAAAATCTTAATTTGCATGCATTTATTTATAGCTTAGACTTGTTTGTATTTTAGTTGCTAATTATCAATAGTGCATATCATATATTTCTGAATGTAAGCTGAGAGTGCTTTTTTCCTTAGAAAATTTAGCTAAAATTCAAAACCCATATATAATCTTCTTTTCAAAATTGCCCAGCATATCATAATTCTTGCACTTTGGTCCAAGTTTCACGTGCATATACATGTCAAAATTGGTCCTATATTACAGTAAAACTTTTTTTTCTTCTTTGGATTACCTTTGATTTCATATATTTTCACATTCCACTGAAGCATCTATTGGCTGCAGTGATTTGATTCTCTTTTGTATTTCTGTGGTAATATTGTTCCTGTTGTTAATTTTCGAGCCTAAATATGCGAAGCTGTCACCAGTTTCAAATTTATGTTCTCCAATTTCTAAGTGAATGTTCTTGAAGTCTGTTTTAGTGCACAGCATATATTTTGTTTTATTTTCATTAATTCTGATGCCCAGCCTGAGCCTCCTTTCCTAAAGATATAAAAGCTTAATTGTTGGTGGTGTTCTAGCAATAATGATAATGGTCATCAGCAAAAGCCAGTAACTGTACCAGTTTATTAAAGATGTTTCCTCTGGTACTGATGTTTGAGTCTATTATTACTTTTTCTAGTGCCAAATTAAAGAGAAGGCATGCCAGTGTATTAACCCTGTCGAATGGAATTTTTAATTTCAGTTAGCTTTGATAGTTCATTATGTATTTTTACCATGATTCTAGTTTCATCTAGTGTCAGGGTGATTAGCTTTTGATAATTTTTTGAGTATTTTAAACTCCCTTAAGGCTGCAATGAGTTAATCAAATATTAGTCACTAAAAAACCATTGCTGGGATTAAGCAACTACTGAGAAGCTAGAGATTCAGTGAAGTTTTGATACCAGCATGACTCTTCATAATTTAAAGCAATTTTTTATAAAATGTTCTTTTCTGAAAATATTAATTTGAATTTCTATTATAAATAGCTTGCAATTGTTATGTTATGTGATAATTTAAAAAATGCTAATCATTATATTGCATTTTATAGGGTCCATTACCAGTGACTACAGGCCACTTCTGGCTGATGGTTTGGGAGCAAAAGTCTAAAGCTATACTTATGTTAAATCGTGTCATTGAAAAAAATGCAGTATGTTTTTCTTTCATTTATATGCTTTGTTTGATTAATGCACAATTTATATTTATTTCCAGTCACAATGAATATTTATTAAAAAGCATATTTTACAAGTCTTGGAAAATTAAGTTGTAAATTCGTCATCTTTTAGGTGAAATGTCATCAGTATTGGCCAGTTGGAAGCAAAAATGGAGGAGATGATGAATTGAGTCTTATGGATGTTCAACTTAAAATTACATTTTTAAATGCAAAAGATGACTCATATTATATTCTTCGCGAGTTCCTTATAACAGATTTAGAGGTAAATATATTTATACTAATTTACCAACTTTCACCATTATATTTTTTAAAGCTATTTTGTTTTCATCATAACTTTAGAAACCATAGTGTTAGACGTTAATTAGTATAACAGAATGCTTTGTTTATTTCCTTGTGGTACTACTAGTTGCCTTTTTTAGAATATGGTAAACAGCATATAAATTAAGAAACTATGAGCTGGTCACACACATATATTTTACTACCTTTGGCTGTGTGATAATAAAGGTGATGCTGCTGTTTATCATAAACTATTGGGTCAGTCCATAAGTTCGTAAGTAAGAGTATGTGTGGAATTCACTGTGACGCATTTACTAAAACAATACAATTTTGAACCTGTTGAAATTTGTCATTGTTTCACTAACATATTCAGTTCATCACCAACTTTCGTAAATATCGAACGCATTTTAGTACCCATAGAAGATGAATATAGATAATCAGTACAAACGTGCTGAGCTACATTTTGTATTTTCGTGTTATGGATCTGCCAGGTTTGCAGCGATAAAAATTAATAATGTACATTGCCCAGAAATGGTTTAAAAAATTTAAAGTTGGAAAAAGCAGCATTGATGATGAACCCCATTCAGGGTGTTTTGAATTGTTAAAACCAAATCAAACGATTAATTCAGAAGTTTATAGTGAACAACTTTGCCGTCTGAACTCAGAATTGATCAAAAACGCCCACGATTGATGAGTATCAAGAAAGTGTTGTTTCATCATGATAACGCTAGACCGCATATGGCTTGAACAACGCTGCAAAAAATTAGTGAATTTAATTGGGAGCTTTTGCCACATCCTGCTTACTTCCCAGATATTGCCACGAGTGATTTTTCACTTATTGCGTGCCTTACAAAATTTTTTACTGGGAAAAAAAATAAATTCTAAGCAGGATGTACACAATGAACTTTCAAGTTTTTTTGCATCAAAACCAGTCTTTCTAGAGCAATGGCATAAAAAAAGCTGCCTGTAAGATGGCGAGACATTGTAGGTAATGGAGGAAAATATAAAATTGATTAAAATTAAAAATTTTTTTTTTATATATTAAAAATTTACCAAAAAATGTGCACGAATTTATGGACTGACCCAATATTTGTTAAATGCTCATTTTCAAACTTTGAACAGATTTTTCGGAGAGAAGTTGGTTGTTTCATGTTTTCTTATCTCTTTCATTGTGTTTAATGGGTAGAGTTGGTAACATGAAATTACAAAGAAAGAGAAGCTGCAATTATTTGCATGATAGGCCATTGAATTACAGTGTAGTAATTAGTGTTATTCTTGCAGATATCAAAATTCTTGTTGCACTGTGGCAAACTATGCTCAAAGGAGTGTAGCAATTATTATGTTAAGCAGTTATGTTAAATGATTATTATGTTTATACCGCTAACCTCTGTCTTACTAAGCTGCAGATTTGGTTATAGATAAAGTTTCTTCAAACAGCTGTTCCTTATGAATTATTCACCATTCTAGGAATGGAACATTTTCTCATTAGTTTACCATAATTTTGCAGCAAGCTTACCTCAAATGATAATAGGTGTAAGTCGATTTGATCTTCTATTAACAATACTTTTGTTACCTAAGTTTCCTGTGATTTTTAGATGCATTTGCTGCTTATGATTCCATGGTTAGTTTGCATAAGCCCCATCACTCACCACTGCTTACATCTGCTCTAAAAATGTTTATCCATGTCTATAAAATGTTTGTAAATGTAATGTTAATTTACTTGGTACATGCATAGATTTAAATTTACAATGCATATGAAGCTTTAAACCCAACTTAGAAGTAGTTAGAGCAGATGTAAGCAGTGATGAGTAATAGGGGGCTCATGCAAGCTCTTTTAAATTTGTCTGTAATTTACAAACCCCTTGTTCTTTTCGTTTGCTTGTTTATTTATCCCAAGGAAAACATTGCTTGCATATTGTAATCTTTGTTTATGGTAGTCTTTTTCTTCATAAGGTGGTGGTGATGGTGTATTTAATTATGGCAAAGCACACTAGGGCTATCTGCCTAAGGGGAGGGATGCCTTTGTGGATTACTTTCTAAGGGAAACTGGCTCGTATACACGTTACACGTGGGGGAAAACCACGAAAATGCCCATGCAACCAGCCCATTCGCGGGATTCGAACCTCGGACCGAACTACCAGTGTTCAGTGACTTTACCGCTCGGCCACTGGTGGGCCTTTCTTCATAAGAGAGTCACATTTGAATTAGAAAAATCTCCATTTAAATTTATTCAAATGCTGTAAATAACTTAAAATTTAAACAAATGTGGAAAAATTTTGTGTTTTCAATAAATTTATCAAATTTCAATAAAGTTATCAAATTGTTTAACATCAAGATGATGGGATGAAGTTCTTGAATTTAGTTTTTTATTTCAGGATCCCAATAAATATGTTATTGCTAAATTATTTTAAAGTTGAAATATAGGTCATTGAATTCAAAAATGGAATATGTAATAGGTCCATGGCCAGCAGGAAAAAAAGGATGCAAACACCAAATTTCATAGTAAATCATGAAACAAAAATAAATAACTTTTGGGAATTGATCGAGATGACTTAAACAGAGAAACTCGATTATTAATTTTTTAATTGTTTAAAGAATGCTCAAGTCATTATAAGGGCTATTTCTATTAGTAATGCTGAATTGGATGAGCAGTGGTTTTTTTTTTTTTTTTTTTTTTTTTTAAGATTTTGACATTATATTTCAAATTTAATAACGGTCTTCTTAAATGGCAGACCTTTAAGAAAATTTAATCCTAGACTTTAAAAAAAAAAAAATGTAAAATCATTGCTTGTCCTTGAAACCTTCCAAAAGATTGCCATGAAAATAGTTTGTGGCAGCTTCTGGATTAAGTTGTGCGGCATAGTTAACTTACTTATTTCATGTGATATTTTGTAATTTAAAAAAAATATTAATATTTTTTTTTATTTTGAAAGTTTTATTTTCTTGCATTTTTGTATTTTCTGTTTTTGTAAAATATTAACATTTAATTGGAATAATATAAATTGTGTTGAAATTTCATAGCTCTCTACTTCATGTAAGTTTTAAATATGTAGAAGAAAAATTTTATCGTAAAGTAGTTTCTTCTAAAGACTATACTAGTTGAGGTAAAGAATAGATATCCTGTAAGCAATAATATTCCAATAAATCTTCTCATATAGGTTTCAGATGCAATAAATTCTGGGCTTTTTTTTTTTTTTTTTTTGCTGAGCTTATATATTTGTCTGTTCAACGAGAAGAGAGTAAATGTCTAAACCAAAAAGAAAATCAAAAATCTGCACACTAGTTTTACCTTGTATTTTTGTCTTTTATAATTTCTCTTCTATCCTTTCTTCATGTTCTTCCTGAGACACTAACATTTCCTTTTCTATCCACTTCATGATTTCAGTCTTCTGCTTTTTAAACTTTTTAGTATGATTATAACTGCTTTTAGAAAGCTGAAACTTACTTCTTGCATGAATTTCAACTTCTCTAGCAGTATCATTTGATAAAATATCATTATCATTATTTAAAACATTGCCATTCCTTTCTTCTTCGTCACTAGTTTCTGCAATTTCTGGGGAAACAACAACAATATCAGTTTCATTCTGGTCATTATTAACATTATCATCATCTGTTTCTTCATCAAAAAATCTTTGAAGGGCTTCTTCTAATTTAAGATACCTCATTCTAGGCATTTTTAAACAACCAGAACATCGAAGGAATGAGTGAAAAAGGAGATTGACTACCCGTTTCCTGCTGAACGTTGCGTCAATGCAACACCTGTTTTCCCTTCCTTCCCAACACAAATATAAACATCTTACTGATGTAATGTTCTGATAAACGATGACCTTGACTAAAATTAGATCACTCATAAAGACGGTGATTGTTTCATAAAATATTTTCAGCAAAAATACCTGGTCGAAAATTTTGCTTAAAGTATGACAGGGTTAGTAGCGGTCCTTATAAGTGCTTATAAGTCCTTATATTTGAAAATAAAATATAAAGGCCCTTATATGTGCTTACTTTTTCTTTAAAGCCCTTGTTTTTTTGGTTTTAGTGCTTATTTTTTGCTTTTAGTGCTTTTTTTTAATGAACGCACTATTTGTCCCCGTACCAAAGCCGAAACTAAATAAACAACTTTTCTTCCTAATGTGGAATTTCAGATGGTGAATCATACTCCCGGAAATAGCTTTTCCCCTTTCTCTGCATTAACATAACCTTTGGTGTGCACGAAGAGTACAGACAGGTGCCCGTCGTTGGTCAAAGAATTGCAAAAGCTGTAGAAAATTCCGGTACGTTCGGCATTCTTTTCCGCCCACCCAAACACTAAACACGTTTGAATTTCTCTCAAGATCTTAATAATTTGCATTCTCATTCCGCTTGTTCAGTTCATATTCGGGTTTATTATGATTGTTAGGCTTATATTATGAGCATATGTATGAATGTTTATAATAACATAGTTGCAGTAATGCTGAAGTATAGTAAACTTCCAAAAATGGTTGTGTTTTAACACAGATTAGCTTTCTAAGGAATAATATTCGGAATGGCTTAAATAAAGGGAAAGTAATCGAATAGTCAAAACAATTTCATTCTTTTGGCCAATACATTATACAGTATGAAGATTGGGAGGTTCTCCCCTTTCTCCGCAAAATCTCGAATATTGAAACCATTGCAGTTCGCTGCAAAACAAGTGATGGATTCTTTTTTTGTCACTTTCCAATCTGGATTGAATAGGACTAAAAGTTCTGCGGTCTACCAACCCAAGCGAAGAATGATTCTATTCCGGAAATTTAACGCTGTCTGTTGAAAATTAGAATGAAAAACACCCCAGTTATTTATTTCTTTATTCTCCCAATACCGGCAGCTGTTGATTCCGATTGCGTAATATCACGTAGGGAAGAATTACGGCACACGTATTGCGCAATAACGTTTGCGATATTTTGCAGAGATAATTAATTTTGATGTTCTGTCCGAGATTTGTTTATGAAGAAGTAGTAAAAGAGTTTT